GGGAATTTCTTTCTAACCCCAAGTAGGCAGAGTCTGGCTTACGCCTGGAAGCATGGGGGCTTATATGTCATATAACAATGTTTCAATTTTATCTAAGGTAACTGTGAGTATTCATCCATAAAAATGTCTAATCCTTTTCTAAACCCTTCAGTACGAAGCTCTTGGCCCCAATGATATCTTGTGGCAGTGAGTTAGACAGGTCAATTATGTGTTTAAAAAAATATTTCCTTTTACTAGTTTTAAATGTGCTTACTTTCAATTTTATTGACTGTCCCCTTGTTCTTCTACTATGAGAAAATGTAACTATATGGGTAAGTATAAAATCATAGGATTAGAAGGGACTGCAAGTGACATATAGACTAACCACCTAATCTAATAATCTAACAGTATGATATTCTCTATACCATTAATTATTTTATATACTTTACCATATCCCGCATACCCATCTTCTCTCTAAACAATGCCATTCTTTTTAATGTCTCTTCATACCATACATCATGTCTCTTTTTTAGTCCTGAAGGGCCACATTTTACCATCAGATAAAGGTGTCTCTCTTAATTACCTTAATGAGAAATGTACATGTGCAACTGAGGCCAGAATTCTGTTTTGCAAGTTAAATTCTGCTCTCAGTTACATGCCTGCAACCTCAGTTATTTCCAATATATAACAAAGGATTGGATTTGGCCCTACTTAAATAATTTCAGCATACAATTCAGAGACAGCAGTACACAATAAGAAAGGCTAGAGGTCATCCAGTCCCAGCTGCCTTTCATATACAAAGAGGGAGACATTTTTAATTAGATATATTTATCACACACACACACAAAACCTATGTTAAAAGAACATTATTAAAGTTGCAAAGTCAAGCACACTTACATTAGGAAATACCAGAATACAGGTTGCCTGTGTAACCTTATTTCAGCACCCTAGGAAATTGGATTATGATACTGTCTTTATTACATGCTATTTTTTCCATGGGATCCCTGCTTCATTCAGTGCATGGGATGGATGGTGCTCTCTTAATGATCAGTTATTCAATATTTTGTTTTCTCCTCATTCTTCAAAGTGTGGCCCCATGTCTTAGTTACTATACACTATTCATACACTGCTCTGAAGACATATTAATTTCCTAATGGGCTTTTCTTTAGTTCTCTTCACTATAGTAACTGAGTGCTTTATTAATATTATTAATTAATTTATTTTCACAATACCCTGTAAGATTAGGGTGTGGCATTAACCCCACTTTATAGATGGAGAACTGTTGCACAGAGAGACTAAAGTCAAAAGTATCTACTAGTTTCGGGTATCCAATCTGAGATGCCTAACACTTGATTTTTCAGAATATGGAGCATTGTATTGCACTTTATATATTCAAAGCACAGTTCCCAGTTCTTCAGCTGCAGTGGTGAGTGCTCAGCACTTTTGCAAATCAGGCCCCAGGGTCTCAAATCAAGCACCCAGAAAATTAGGAAACACAATTAGTGACCACACGTGAATTGTTAGGTTTAACATTACACAGGAACTCTGGGGCAGAAGAAGTAGGATTAGAATCCGATTCTCCAGGGCAGCATTCAACTGCCTTAAGCATGAGACTATCCTTTCTCTTCTTGCAATCCCCTGCCTCATTCACTACACACATTCAACTTCAGAAACAAATGAAGGAGGGGTCCTACAGACAGCAGCCTCCTTCACTAACAACCCTGATTCATCCCTAGAGTAGGTCCATCCTGTGCACTGAATGAGGCAGGGGTCCTGTGCAAAAATAGTATGTGATCTTGTAATTAAAGACTGTATCATAATGCATACACACAAGGGAACTGAACTGAGATGCAGTTGTGATAAGATTTATATCCAGTGTAAAAGAAACATTAGACCGGGGTGAGTGAACTTTTTGGTCCAAGGGCCACATCGTGGATGCGCAACTGTATGGAGGGCTGGGTAGGGAAGACTGTGCCTCCCCAAACAGCCTGGCCTCTGCCCCCATCCACCCCCTCCCACTTCCCGCCCCCCTCAGTACCTCCGACCCATCCAACTCCCCCTGCTCCTTAACCCCGACTGCCCCCTCACAGGACCCCCGCCCCTAACTGCCCCCTGGGACCTCACCCCCATCCAACCCCCTCCCTGCTCCCTGTCCCCTGACTGCCACGACCCCTATCCACACCCCCTGCTCCCTGTCCCCTGACTGCCCCTCGGGATCCCCTGCCCCTTATCCAACTCCCCTGCTCCCTTACCATGCTGGAGCCAGCCACGCTGCTGCGTGCCCGACAGGAGCAGTAGGCCAGAGCGCTACCCGCGCAGTGGTGTGGCTGCAGGGGACAGCGGGGGAGGGAAGAGGGCTGGGAGCTCAGGGGCCAGGCAGGACAGTCCCGCTGGCCAGATGTGGCCCGTGGGCTGTAGTTTGCCCACCTCTGCATTAGACAATAACCTGATCACATAGTGGAGTAAATACAGTAACTCCTCTCTTAACGTGTTAGTTATGTTCTTGAAGAATGCAACTTTAAGTGAAAGGATGTTAAGCTAATCCAATTTCCCCATAAGAATTAATGTAAATAGGAGGGGTTAGGTTCCAGGGAAATTTTTTTCGCCAGACAAAAGACATTATATACCTATACAGTATAAGTTATAAATAATTTTAAACAAACAATTTAATACTGTACTCACCAATGAGGATTGTGAAGCTTGGTTGAGGCAGGGACATAGCGGGATCGGGGCGTGGAAGCTTGCCCTGTTCCGCCCGCCCAGGGCTCCTGCCGGGGAGTGGGTGTGGGGATGCGGGGGCTTGCCTCGTTCCGCCCGCCCGGGGCTCCTGCCGGGGAGTGGGTGTGGGGGCTTGTCCCATTCCACCCACTTGCCCAGGGCTCCTGCCAGGGAGCAGTGTGGGGGCTTGTCCACTCCCCTGCTGGAATTCTGGGCAGGCGGAGCAGGTCAAGCCCCCGCACCGCAACCCCGCTCCCCGGCAGGAGCACTGTGTGAGCGGAGCAAGGGGAGCCAAACAACGTTGTAAGGGAACATTGCAGGACTTTAAAGGAGTATGTTCTCTAATAGGTCAGCAACCTAATAGCGAAACAACGTTAACTGTGAGGATGTTAAGTGAGGAGTTACTGTATTTCATTTAGTAAAAAGACAGTGATACAGATGCATGCTAGCCATTATGTCATCAAATACAGAAACTTTCTGAACACTGTGTGACAATACTGATATAATAATAGTAAGCAAATTGGGTAACTGAAATAAGACTATTGCATGGCATATCTTACTTGCTTGAAAGCATGTTTTGTATTTCAGTACCCACAGGTCTCTTGCATATTCCTTGGTTATATTAAGAGATTCATAGATTCCAAGACAGAAGGGATCATTGGGAACATCTAATCTGACCTCCTGTTTAACACAGAACTTCCCCAAAATAATTCCTAGAGCAGATCTTTTAGAAAAGCATCCAATCTTTACTTAGAAACAGTCAGTGATGGAGAATCCACAATGACTCTTGAAAAATTGTTCCAATGCTTAATTACTCTTACTGTCAAAAATGTCTGAATTTGTCTAGCTGCAACTTCCAGCAATGGTATCATTTTATACCTTTCTCTATTAGATTGAAGATTATTACATATTTGTTTCCCCATGCAAGAAACTACCTATTAGGGCAGGGGTTCTCAAACTGGGGGTTGGGAGCCCTCAGGGGGTTGTGAGATTATTATGTAGCGGGTTGCGAGCTATCAGCCTCCATTCCAAACCCCGCTTTGCCTCCAGCATTTATAATGGTGTTAAATGTATAAAAAAAGTGTTTTTAATTTATAAGGGAGGTTGCACTCAGAGGCTTGCTATGTGAAAGGGGTCACCAGTACAAAAGTTTGAGAATCACGGTATTAGAGGATTACAATCATAGGTCAACAGTACTTATATGAAAGACTTTGCTCATGTGTTATTTGTAACAGCAATGCTATTATGTGTGTGTAAAGTATAAACATAGGAATATTGTGTTTCCTCTCTGTTCAAAGCATATACATTTTTGTTTTAATCTAACATGACTAAACTCACTGCATGCATTTCTTAAATTCCTTGAGATGCCTATTAGTTATAATCTAAATCATAACATACACAAAGTCCCTGCTTGTGCCATGAGTTTACTATTACATAGAAAATTCTCTATGTGTAATGCCTATTACTTTACATAGCTTATATTTTATTCATTTTATCAAACATTAATTCAAAGAAAGATAGTACATTTGGATGTTAGTAGAGCCCACTCCCAAGAATCCAGGATTTAAATGGTGATTTGTGTGAACATAATCAATGAAAATACCGTGATTTCTCAACTATGACTCTATGGTCAGCATGGGTAAAAGGTGACCTTTTAACCCTTCACTGTTGTGAAAGATGCTGGCCAGACAGCCCAAAGAAAATGAAGAATATGAATGGGCAACAGCAGTAAAAGCTTCTCCAACACGGTCCTCTCAATTTGCTTCAACTCGGATACCATCTTGAAGAGTTAATTCAGTCTTCAAACCCACTCAGTTCTTAGCCTCTCTTTTGAGACTTCCAGGAAGGATGAAAATTAGACTGTCTTTGTAATATGGCTACCTGAAACCACAAACTTATGCCACATAAGAAATTGATAATGTAACATATTTTGGTCACTGGTGACTTAGGTTGGATTTGAAGTTAGAAGATACATTAGAAGTTAAAAAAGAGGCTTACAATTTAAAAAAAAAAAAAGATTCAGGATCTCCTTACGCGCTGAAACCCAATGGGGTACCTTGGAAAGCCAAAATGATTTACAAGAAGAAAATCAGACTTTCTTCCACATTACAAAAGTCATGATAGCCCAGTAATTTTGTCATTCAAATCAGGATAAGATTGCCTATAAATCTTACAAAATGTAAGCAACCACTTTGACATTAATTGTTGCCTTTAAGAGCATTTAACCATGCCAACCTGCCTTAAAACGCTGATTTAAAAGTACTTTCCAGTGATGCCACAACCTTCGATGGTTGAACACTTACCAACTGTGGCAGATGCTGTTGACAGCAGAGATTTGCCCCACGATCCCCAAGCTCCCCATCCACTTCCTTTTGGAGAGTCCAAATCCTACAGTAGAAAATATTCAGTCCACTGTCAGAAATTTGTTACCCAAAGACAGGAGGAAAAACCACCAACACTAGAAAACAGAATCCAGCATATAATAAATGATGACACCAGGCAGAAAATGTAATATAATTATCGGTTTCAGAGTAGTAGCCGTGTTAGTCTGTATTCGCAAAAAGAAAAGGAGTACTTGTGGCACCTTAGAGACTAACAAATTTATTTGAGCATAAGCTTTTGTGAGTTACAGCTCACTTCATCGGATGCATTCAGTGGATGCATCCGATGTGGTGAGCTGTAGCTCACGAAAGCTTATGCTCAAATAAATTGGTTAGTCTCTAAGGTGCCACAAGTACTCCTTTTCTTAATATAATTAGGTTTGTGATTCAACAGTAATGCCATCAGGGAATCTGTGGGAAGATAAACCCAAGAGAAGATACTGGCTTCTCTGCAATGGTGATGTTGCAGTGCTGCAGTATTTTATGTACTGCCCATTGAATGGCACTTTAAATTGAGGTTTCTGGTGAAAGCTTAAGCTTCTGTGGCAGGTGTGGAGAAGAGAATAGTTCTGGTGCACAGTCCTACATTCCCTTTCTCAAGAAAATCTGTTGTAACAGCTAAGATTATAGTATTAGACTATTTTCAGTAATTCACATTTTTAATAAGGCTAAGAAACCAATAGCCTTGTTAGAACCTCTATACTACTTCTTTGTAACCTAGCTTCAATATGTATTAGACCTTCGGCCAGGAAAACAGGTGCATTAGAAAATGTACATGGCTTTTGTGCTTGAACCTCTTCATGCATCTTCAAAGGGACAGAGTAAATAATCTCTTTCCTCCAGTCCTTGACCTACAATTCCTTGTTTGTAATTTTAGCAGACATCCTCTTAGTTTACAATAGAACATGAAGAACCTGCTGAGTGTGTCCTGACTGGACATGGATTCTATTCTGCTGACATGAAAAAACAAACAACTTTTGCTTTTACAGGTGTAACAAACACTGTATCCACAAGCAATAGCAATATTGCTACTAACGTAAGCAGTTCTGTGCACTCAGTTGAAGTAGAAAGGAACCCGCAACAGCCAGGTACACTTTAATTTCAGGGATGTCTCACTGTTTTATTATGGCTAATTAACTATAATTTTCAAAGTAGCGAGTAATAATATAAATAAAACAATAGTAATAATAACTGAAATAATTCAAGATTTTGTAAATGAGCTCTATGGAACATATAATAGAAATGCCATCTGATAATGGTTAGACAGATGGTGAATTGTGGCTATGACTACCAATTAGCTAAGAACAACAAATACAGCTAGTTTAGGAAAACATCCTCTTGCTTTTGAGCTCCTGTGTTTGTCCATCTGTCAGGTCTTATCTTTAAAGGGCCCTATTCAGCAAAGCATTTAAAACTGTGCTTAAGTCTCACTGAACTCAAAAGGGATTAAGCACATACCTAAATGCTTGGCCTTAGACTGTCATCTCTTTGGGGCAGGGATTGTCATTATTATGTTTGTACAGTTCTACAATGTGACCCAAATCCGATTGAGGCCTCCAGGTGCTATCACAATGTAAATTTGAAAACAAACACATCCCTAGGACAATGTATAGGTTGCAAAGTCAAGAACTCAGAAATAAGGAAGCACCAATTTATGATTGTATGTGTGACCCAATTCTGCCCACTTTTTGGTCCATCCTGCGCACTGAATGAACCGGGGTATGGGGGAAATTAAAGACTATCATAGTGCATAGGCAAAAGGGGGTCAAATTTATGTTACATGGGCAAATCTGACTCTTCCTAACTTTGGAGTGCTTCACTGCAACCTAAATAGTATTATTTTAAACACAGCTTTTTTTTTTTAATTTCCTAGGTTTTTGTAGAAAATTGACCATGATTATTTCATAGCAAAATGCTAATGCAATGAATATATTATTTTTACAGAATCCTGTCCTTCGCACAAAGTGGGGAAACATGTTCATGATTCTGTCATACAGAAAGCTAATTACCATCAAGGAAAGATGTTTTGGAAGAAAGACTGGAGTACTGTCATGGATGGGTATAAACTGTTCAGGAAGGACAGGGAGGCCAGAAAAGGTGGGGGAGTTGCACTGTATGTAAGGGAGCAGTATGACTGCTCAGAGCTCAAGTATGAAACTACAGAAAAACCTGAGAGTCTCTGGATTAAGTTTAGAAGCGTGAGCAACAAGGGTGATGTCGTGGTGGGAGTCTGCTATAGACCACCAGACCAGGGGGATGAGGTGGACGAGGCTTTCTTCCGGCAACTCGCATAAGTTACTAGATCGCACGCCCTGGTTCTCATGGGCAACTTCAATCATCCCGATATCTGCTGGGAGAGCAATACAGCGGTGCACAGACAATCCAGGAAGTTTTTGGAAACTGTAGGGGACAATTTCCTGGTGCAAGTGCTGGAGGAACTAACTAGGGGCGGAGCTCTTCTTGACCTGCTGCTCACAAACCGGGAAGAATCAGTAGGGGAAGCAAAAGTGGATGGGAACCTGGGAGGCAGCGACCATGAGATAGTCGAGTTCAGGATCCTGACACAAGGAAGAAAGGAAAGCAACAGAATACGGACCCTGGACTTCAGAGAAGCAGACTTTGACTCCCTCCGGGAACTGATGGGCAGGATCCCATGGAAGAATAAACATGAGGGGGAAAGGAGTTCAGGAGAGCTGGCTGTATTTTAAAGAATCCTTATTGTGGTTACAGGGACAAACCATCCCAATGTGTAGAAAGAATAGTAAATATGGCAGGCGACCAGCTTGGCTTAGCAGTGAAATCTTTGCTGATCTTAAACACAAAAAAGAAGCTTACAAGAAGTAGAAGATTGGACAAATGACCAGGGAAGAGTATAAAAATATTGCTTGGGCATCCAAGAGTGAAATCAGGAAAGCCAAATCACACCTGGAGTTGCAGCTAGCAAGAGATGTTAAGAGTAACAAGAAGGGTTTCTTCAGGTATGTTGGCAACAAGAAGAAAGCCAAGGAAACTGTGGGCCCCTTACTGAATGAGGGAGGCAACCTAGTGACGGAGGATGTGGAAAAAGCTAATGTACTCAATGCTTTTTTTGCCTCTGTCTTCACGAACAAGGTCAGCTCCCAGACTACTGCACTGGGCAGCACAGCATGGGGAGGAGGTGGTCAGCCTTCTGTGAAGAAAGAAGTGGTTCGGGACTATTTAGAAAAGCTGGACGTGCACAAGTCCATGGGGCCGGATGTGTTGCATCCGAGAGTGCTAAAGGAATTGGCGGATGTGATTGCAGAGCCATTGGCCATTTTCTTTGAAAACTTATGGTGATCAGGGGAAGTTCCGGAAGACTGGAAAAAGGCTAATGTAGTGCCAATCTTTAAAAAAGGGAAGAAGGAGGATCCTGGGAACTGCAGGCCAGTCAGCCTCACCTCAGTCCCTGGAAAAATCATGGAGCATGTCCTCAAGGAATCAATTCTGAAGCACTTAGATGAGAGGAAAGTGATCAGGAACAGTCAGCATGGATTCACCAAGGGAAAGTCATGCCTGACTAATCTAATCGCCTTCTATGATGAGATAACTGGCTCTGTGGATGAGGGGAAGGCAGTGGACGTGTTATTCCTTGACTTTAGCAAAGCTTTTGACATGGTCTCCCACAGTATTCTTGTCAGTAAGTTAAAGAAGTATGGGCTGGATGGATGCACTATAAGGTGGGTAGAAAGTTGGCTAGATTGTCAGGCTCAACGGGTAGGGATCAATGACTCCATGTCTAGTTGGCAGCCAGTATCTAGCGGAGTGCCCCAAGGGTCGGTCCTGGGGCCGGTTTTGTTCAATATCTTCTTTAATGATCTGGAGGATGGTGTGGATTGCACCCTCAGCAAGTTTGCGGATGACACTAAACTGGGAGGAGTGGTAGATATGCTGGAGGGTAGGGATAGGATACAGAGGGACCTAGACAAATTGGAGGATTGGGCCAAAAGAAATCTGATGAGGTTCAACAAGGACAAGTGCAGAGTCCTGCACTTAGGACGGAAGAATCCAATGCACCGCTACAGACTAGGGAGCAGTTCTGCAGAGAAGGACCTAGGGGTGACAGTGGACGAGAAGCTGGATATGAGTCAACAGTGTGCCCTTGTTGCCAAGAAGGCCAATGGCATTTTGGGGTATATAAGTAGGGGCACTGCCAGCAGATTGAGGGACGTGACCGTTCCCCTCTATTCGACATTGGTGAGGCCTCATCTGGAGTACTGTGTCCAGTTTTGGGCCCCACACTTCAAGAAGGATGTGGATAAATTGGAGAGAGTCCAGCGAAGGGCAACAAAAATGATTAGGGGTCTGGAACACATGAGGAGAGGCTGAGGGAACTGGGATTGTTTAGTCTGCAGAAGAGAAGAATGAGGGGGGATTTGATAGCTGCTTTTAACTACCTGAAAGGTGGATCCAAAGAGGATGGATCTAGCCTATTCTCAGTGATAGCAGATGACAGGACAAGGAGTAATGGTCTCAAGTTGCAGTGGGGGAAGATTTAGGTTGGATATTAGGAAAAACTTTTTCACTAGGAGGGTGGTGAAACACTGGAATGCGTTACCTAGGGAGGTGGTGGAATCCCCTTCCTTAGAAGTTTTTAAGGTCGGGCTTGACAAAGCCCTGGCTGGGATGATTTAGTTGGGAACTGGTCCTGCTCTGGGCAGGGAGTTGGACTAGATGACCTCCAGAGGTCCCTTCCAACTCTGATATTCTATGATTCTATTCTATGATTACTTACTGGACTGCTTTGTTCATTCGGTGTCACTTCTGATCCAGGTTCAGGATCAAGGCTCACAGACTCACTGCAGTCAGTAGGTATGTTTTCAGTCACCTCTCCACTGGAAGGCTGATTTGCAATTACTTCTGCAGTCAAAGGATTTTCATTGATAACCATGTCCCCTTCTTGTTCATTACTAGTATTATGAGAAACTTGTCTCTGTTCATCTTGGAAAGACCCATGCAAGATCCCAGCTGTTTCACTGTGTTCTGCTGCATCATTAGACAACACATCACTGCTAAGCATTGCCATTACTTCAGGTTTTCCTTCAACGGGTATTGCATCACTTGCACCATCAGACATTTTTATTTCTGCTTAAAAAAAGCAAAGAAATTAGTATATTTATATTAGCTAATCAAAGTAATTTCAAATCCCATAAACTCTTAAATGACACAAGGCACTGAAATATATAGCTTTCCTCGCCATCCACAGCATGCTAATAATGATACAGAAGACTACAGAAGTTTGCGTTGTAAATTTGCAGTGTTTCATCTACAGAAATCATCAGGGTCCATTTGGGAAGGCTAGTTATAGCCCTTGATCTTGTAGGAACTCCCACTGATGTCAATGAGAGACTCAGGTGGCGACCAAGGAGAGGACCTAGAATCCATGTAAGTAACACTGATTGCTTCATCTAAAGAAATCTTGCAGATTTAAAACCCTACATAGATTTGCCCCAGACTTTTTCTTTTCTTCACATTATAGACTAATAGACTCTAAGGCCAGATGAACCATCATGATCATCTAGTCTGACCTCTTGCACATTGCCGGCCAAAAAACCTCACCCACACTCCTGTAGTAGGTCCATAGCCTCTGGCTGAGTTACTGAAATTCTCTTTGCTTGTTTAGCATTGGCTTCCGCTAGGTCCCGCCCATTATCTCACCAATGCAAGTGCAAGAAGAGCAGCCTCTCTGTAACCCTTGACATCTGGAACAATGTTTCTAGTATCCGTCCTACATGCCATTCATACTCTAATCTCATGTGAAAACTGAATTTTTCTTTTCTACAGACATTTTTTAAACTTTGAATCAGAACTGCATTATTTAACTCTGTAAAGCATTTTCAAGTACTATTTGTATGAAAACTATTGTAAAACATGCATTCTGATGTATAAAATTGTGCTGTTCAATAGCTGTGGGGGTGCACGCAGTCCATTCTTAAAAGTGTATTTTGTGACTCTTCCAGCTCTAGCAAATCCCACTTACAGTGGGTCTGATTCTGATTTCACTTGTACTGATGAAAACTAGGAGTAACTCTACTGAAGTCAATGGGCTGATTCCAGCTCTTGTGGCCCCTTTACACTGTATGGTGTAAAGGGACCATGCAGTGGGCCCTGGGGGAAATTTCTCTGAAAAGTCATCAGTTGAGCCCTAAAGCCCCCCACAGGAGCATACTGTGGGCAGACCTGGGCCAGAGACTTCCCAGACAGGTCTGGTTGGCTAACCTGGGTAATGCTGGGTAAAAGCAGACACTGGGGCTGCTCTGTAACTTATACTGGGGACTGCTCTGGTTCCCAAAGTAGCCTGGAGTCCAAGAGACAAAAAGATGGTATAAAGCCATCTTTGCGTGATATTCTTCCTGGACTGCACCTTCTCTGCCACACCTTCTGATCCCATCTCATTGAGCCTCTCAGAATCAGGCATAATAAGCGTAAGCATCTGATGCACACAGAAAAATTGAGGGGAAAGCATTTAAAGAAAAACTGAGAAACTATTCAGAACTTAGAGCAGGATATATGAGAGAGAGTATAGATGCATTTATTAAAACTCAGCTCTTTATTAATTACCTACAGCCACAGGTGACATGACGTGACAGTTCAGAAGTCTGTTTTACATGCAAGGCTGCTGAGAACACAACAGGGGAGAGAGCACTGGAAAATAATTAATAGATTTTAAGGACAGATGGGAATATTCTGATCATCCAGTCTGACTGTATGTATAACTCAGTCCAGAAAACTTCACCCAGTAATTTTGGTAGTGAAGGGAGCTGTTCTTCTTTACTACATAACTGAACACTATTGAAATGTAGCAGTTTGTAATACCATCAGTTGCTGCAGAGAATTTACCTGAATGTAAGTCTTGGAAGACTAATGAAGGAGAACTGCTTTTCAGATATACTGGGCTTGATTCTTCTCTCATACCAGTTTTACACAAATGTAGGATCTTTAACTCCCATGGAGTTACTTCAGATTTACAACAGTGAGTTATGAATATGAATATATGAATACATACCTATCAAGTGTACAGTTTTAGTAGGTACATTCCTCATTTTAGACCCAAATGTACTTCTGTCCCAGACAAATATGGTGCTCTCTCATGTTTTTAATGATTGTTTTTTCATTTGACATTTCTAATACCAGTAATTAAACTGATAGAAAATTTTACATGCAATAAATAAGCGAGCCCCCCATTCAAGCTTTTTCTGGTATATGAAGTTGGTTATATAATTTAGGAATGTAATTCATTTTAACTGTTGGTAATTCACACTTCGGGTTTTGGCTACTTGAGTTCTATATAGATATATTTGTAATGATTAAGACTATACAAAGAATCTGATTGATATGATTTAAGCAGAACTGGCTGGATTCTGATCTTGCTTACACTCATGTAAATTAGGAGTAGCTTAACTGAAGAGTTAAACTGGTAGAAAAAGAGAGAGGAGAGTTATTCCCTATATATCTGAAATTAAAACTTTTTCCTTCACTTTTCAGTTAATTCTTGTTAATGTTAGCTCATTTTCAGTCCTTTATAGTCTAATAGGAAATAGCAACATTTGAAGTTAAAATCATGTGATGATTGTAAATTAATGAAATTGCATGTATGCAAAAAAAAAAAAAATGTAGATAGATTGGAGTCTGATCCTAAGCTCTAAGCAGCTTGAAAGATCACATCCTGAGAAGTACAGAGGACATCATACAAGTGGTTCCATTCTTCTCTCTCCAAAAGGCCCCAGAGAGTGTTTTGGGGGGAATTGTTCATTTGTCCTGAAGGATCTCATGTCAGAGCTACCACAGAGATTTATTTTCATTTGTCCCAAAGAGGTGAATGTAAGGCCATTGGGGGGGAGAGAGGATTTGGGCTGCAGTGCCATTGGCATGCAGTGGACATACAGGCTCTGGGTTTCATTTTCATCAGTCCCAGATAACATAGTTTCCAGAGCCTGGCCACCAAATTAAGAATTGGATCAGAGGGTCCTGTCAGAAGCTTAATCTGAATGAAACAGCGGTGATGTTAGTGCATTGGGTTGGGAGAGAACTGGAGGGAAGGTCAGGGCATGGTTTCAGCAGGCATTCGCTACTGAGATGACTTCTCCATGATTTGTTCAAGATCATTGCTATTTGAATGGTGTTTTGGGGCTCCTTGTTTGCTCCTAGAATTCCAAGTGGTTTTAGTAGGTCTCTGTTCTGTAATTCACATCTCCAGATGGTTGGGCAGAGCCCAGGTTTGTTGTTTTTTACTGAGGGTGCAGTATGCTTGTTTGAGGGCAGGATTGTCATTTTTTGTTATACATTTAAATAGTATTTATTTTTCCCACTTCCCCTCACTGAATTACTTTCCTCCTCCAATTGTGCTCGTGCTGAAAAAAACAACTGGTATAGTTGTTTTCAGTAGCACTTTACTTGCTGTGTAATGCAGCTTTTAACTCACACTTCTTACTTAAAAGAGAGTAACATGGGTGACAATTAACATTTCTGACCATGGTTCTTTGTAAACAGAGAAAGTTATCAATTCCTGAATCTGGTCTCTCTGACTCATCCAGAAAAGATTACGGCCGTGTACACATTAGACCTCTTCTTAAAATTTCACATTATTCCTTCCACAGGTGGAGCAATAGAGAGTGCGGGGGCAGAGTGACTAGCAGCATTTTAATGGCCATGACATCTACTCCTGGTCTGAAAAGGAACTACACAAGAGTTAGGATGGAAATTTAAAAAAACCAAACCATCCCATGTAGAGAAGTCCTATGAATGCTGTGTAGATTGTATAATGAAAATCCACAAGGGGAAAGGAGTGACTGTTCAGCAATTACTGCAGCTGAGGAAAGAGTGGCAATGGCAGAGTCTAAAGGGTGTACTGTACAGGGATCACAGTTATCTATTGGTTGAGCACCAACAGTATGCCTGCCACTGCACATGGAAGACACAATCCCTGTTCCCAGGAGCTTTTAGTCTTCACCTTGAATGGTCGCTTAGGGTATGTCTATACTGCAATTAAACACCCATGGCTGGCCTGTGTCAGCTGATTCAGGCTTGCAGGACTCAGGCTAAGGGGCTGTTTAATTGTGATGTATACATTTGGGGGGACATTCCCCCATCGCAAGGTCTCTGAACCTCAATGTCTATTCTGCAATTAAACAGCCCCATGAGCCAAAGCCCCATGAGCCCAAGTCAGCTGGCACAGACCAGCCATTAGTTTTTAATTGCAATATAGACATACACTTAGAATGTGCATTAATTATTTACGCTACACAATCTGTTCCACCTTATATTCAGCTGTGACACTCTGAGAACCTTTTCCAGACCTGAAGAAGAGCTCTGTGTAGCTCAAAGCTTGTCACTTTCACCAGCAGAACTTGGTGCAATAAAAGATAATACCTCACCCACCTTGTTTCTTGAAAATGGTGTGGTTCTTTAAAGTTTGTATTCAAAGCTGCAGCCACAGCAATACTGGAGGTGAGAATTCAAATCCTGTTCAGTAAATTTAGGAGTTTGAACTGTATTGTTTATCCAATTTTCAATGTTGCATCCTTGAGGCAGGGACTGAGTCTTCCTCTGTGTCTGTACAGTTCCATGGATACCATTGACAGTACATGAACAATAAAAGTCACAGTTAAATAACAAGCACTTGGTGACATTTTAATTATTTGTTTATATTGTAATTTACTTATCTTTGGAAAACGCATTTACAACTCACACTGTTGCAAATTTATCACAGTGTTAGCAATGTTTGCCATTATGAGTATGGCAAATACCACAAATACTGAAGTACAGATACATTCGTGAGCTACAGCTCACTTGTCTAGGTTTTAATGGTGCTCACTGGCTGATGATTCTGGTGGCATTACATGAAGAGAAATAGTTTGTTTCTAGTTAAAAGGACAGATTCTATCCAGAGATATTTGCACACAACTTCCATTGAATTCAGTGGAATTATGTGCATGTATATCCTGATTGCACAATTTAGCACTAATAGCTTCATTATGGGCCTAATCTAGCAAAGATTTATATACACTTGTAAATTTGACTGATACATGCATACATAAGACTTTACAGGATTGGATCCTATATTTGGAAACTCACTCAAGTTCATCCTAAGTGCAGCTGGTCAGTTAAACCCCTTCCCCAATGAGCTAGGTAGGTATACAGCATTCTACCAGACAGGGGCTAAAAATAGTTTGCAGAAAGAAAGGAAACAAAAAGAGCAATGAAAATCCCTGTTTCAACCCAGCATAATGTGTAATTCAGGTGGTCATGCATATGATCTTACAAAAAAGTAGCCTACATTCACATTAAAAAGCAATTGAATCAGTTAGCTCCTCTGTATCTAAACCAAGTACATGGAACTATATTCTTCTGTAGGTTTCAAGGAAGACTCAGGACCATGTTTACACATGCTGCAAACAGACATTTCTGTTGATGTTAGTGGAGCTGCATCCACTTATACCAGTTTGAAATCCGGTGTAAAGTTAGGAAAAGCGACACGAAGCTGTAAGAAAACAAAGATAGTTCCGCACTTGAGTGCATTCCAAATGCTAGGTCTCCTGTTGTCTTGCAGCTGCTGTCACCCTGAAGGCCACACCAGACTTTGAAAAGAACACTGCAATACCAGCAGCAAGTAGTTTAGAAGTTCACTTTTGGGATTAGCTTGCCCCCTGCTGGTTTCCAGTTTTACGCGCATAGTTCAGATTTCCTCAAAAGCAAAGCTGAAAGCACAACTGCAGAGCGGCCTTTCAAAATAAATCTCTGCGCACTGACGCCGGGTATTTTGCAAATGGTCAGGTCAGGGCATGTTTTTAAGCGGCAGCTGTTTCCCCTTTGGTTAGGGTCCTTAATTAATTGTACGCTTGACGCTGATGGGGTTCTGGAGAACCCCAGGGAAATACCGGCTGCAGGGGAGAAGTGGTGGAAAGATATTCGGGGGCGAGGGGGCAGCTCCCATTTCAGTGCAAAGCGCCACGAAGCCGGGAAAGCAGCCCGCTGGAAGGTGCTATTATTAACCCCGCGCCCGGCTCTCAGGGCACGAAGCAGGAGCGGCAAGAACTCCGGGCCGCTGAAGGCCGGAGGGACCGAGTTTCCCTCGGGGCAGGGAAAGTTTCTTTGAAATCTCTCTGGAAGACAGCCTCAGAAGTGGGGGAAGAAGGGGAAATCGCTTAGTTCCTTACCGCTTCGCAGCTGAGCTGTGCCTGAGCCGACGCGCCCCCAGCTCCTTCCGCGTCCCCGCCGCGCCACGTCGGCAGGCTCTGGGACAGGGCGGAGGAGGAGGAAGAGGAGGAAGCCGGGCAGCTGCTGGCCGGCGGAGGGAGGGCTCTTGCCTCGCCTCGCCTCGCAGTCGCGCTGGAGCGGCTGCCCAGTGCAAAAGGCTCGCTCGAGCTTTCCAAGCTTCGCTCGGGCCAGCGCAGCCCCGCGGGCTGGAGAGGACGGCGTGGCTCGCAGCTGCTGGAGTGGGGACGGCTCGAGCCCGGGGCGCGTCGCCTCGCGCACAGCGACGCCCCTCGGGGTGGTCCTTCCCCCCCCGGGCTTTAAGCTTCTCCGAGCTGAAATCAGTCCTTTGTATTCGAACAGCCCTTAAAAGAAGCAACCCGCCACGACCCTCTGTTTGTTTGGCCTTGATACCTTTTGTGCAATTGCCTCAGGGATTCCCCTCCCCTCCCCCGGTCTTTCTTCTCTGTCTCTAATGCTGACCCATAGACTGAGGGAGATTATTAAGCGATGGATGCTGAGATTTTCCAAGCGGCTCCTTGTAATGGGAATTGGGCACCCAAATCCTGGAGGCAGCTTTGAAAACCTCAGCCTGGATCGATCGCTGCTTGCCCTTCTGGCGGGTGGTGTAGACAAGCCCTGTTGCGACTTAAATGGAGGAACGTTGGAGGAGCTGTTACCCTGCTATCCCAATGCATTGGAATTACTGTGATCTCATTTGATCACTTTCACGATTTACCAGCTCTCTTTTTTGTAAGGTTTATTTCTATAACTTTAGGCACCTAAAAAACCAGAACTCATTCCTTTCATGAGAAGAGGACTGTCCCCTTTGGGGTAGTCATTTCAAAGTGATTAGCCTCTGAGGAGGAAGGGTAGCTGTAGTGAGCCTTTTTATCTAAAAGGAAGGAGTCACAACCTAAACTCTGCACATAAGGGCAGTGTAGCAGCAGGTGAGAAGATGAAATGGAGAGAAAGGTGAAGGGGGGGGGGAGGGTTAGCTGGGATTCATTGGCAGAAGTGGTCCAAGGGAGAGTGGTGAGACTTATGAGCAGAAATGCAGGTATAGGTAATGATAATTTATGTCAGGGTTTTGTTACATAACAATATAAAATTTAAGGCCCAAAGATTTCCCCTCAGATATGTGCATTCAGCTTCTATTGATTTTAACTAGTGTTATAGGCTTGTTGTAACTCAGAGGAAAAAGCAAAGGCTTGAACTGAGTAGGACTCGGGCTAACACAGTTCTCCTTGTTAAAACAAATGGATTTATCACAGTGCATATTTCTTCTACTTTGAGAAATGTACCAAAATGTAAAAATAAATAAATAGCCTTAACAAGCTGTTTTTCATACCTGTCATTATGTTTTAATATTATTGCTGGCACCAGATGTTACATGACAGGACTGTGTAGGTCATGGTATGGCACCAAAAATGTAATGTGTATCGATGCCCCTCTCCAACAGGGCCGAATGTATACTTGCCAATATTTTCAATTATTCTTATCTATATTTTTGTTTGTGGTAGCACCTCTAAGCCCCAGTTAATTATTAAATTCCTTGTAGAAAATTGAAATCAAATTGAGGAGGAGAAATGTGTGGAAGCCTTGTAGAGCTGGCAACACAATGGAGTTATGACAGAATAGGAGCTGGGAAACAGCTTCTGTCAGACCCTTGTGTTTAGTGATTAATTCTCATATTTTTCTGAGGCAGTGATGACACCCTCATACAGTATCAGCTGTACACCACTGGACAAATTACACAATATTAGCTAAATGCATCATCTTTCAGTATCAAAGAAAATTGGTAGATTTCAATTTCTTGCTTTTTGTTTCTGCTTTTTCTGATCCTTCAGTGAAATAAATGTGACTACCTATGTGCATAAAGTTAACTATGTTGAGTACTTGCAGGAGTATTTGCAGTATAATACATGAGTATTTGCAAGGCCGGGAGCCCTAGTTATTTTTTTTCAATCTCTGCATTGAGTGAACCAGGATGTTAAAAAAAATTCAGAATTGTTCATACTAATTTCCAGGAAGTTACTGTTCACTTTGGGTACCAATAATGTTGTGAAACAAGTTCTGCATCATCTTTTGACTAAGAGAAAGTTGATTGCAGGCTCTTGCCAAACAACTTGTGGTTCTTGTCTCCTTATTTCTCCACTTTCTTCCTCATTTTATTGTAGGGCAGGACTCTTCAGTTTCATTCTATGGAAAGTTAGTGTGTAGATTCATCAGAGCTTTTTGCCACTTTTGTTGTTCTTCCTCTGCTGGAGAAAAGGAAAAATAGTTACTCTTGTGTAGTGTTGCTATAGGAGCATAAGGAAATACGTTACGATTCATTAAGGAATTTTACGAACAGAAAAGTATCTCAGTACCCCCAAATACGTTGTGGTGCTCATAGAAGCACCATTAAAACCAAACAACTTTTCAATAAATTTATTAAGGAAAATACTCTGAAGTTCCCATTTTAAGGTAGGTGAGACCAGAATAAATATTGAGTAAATATATTTCCAGGGCATTTTAATAAGGATAGAAAAATCAGTGCAGACCAATGATTATTACCAACATATTTTATATGTTTTTATTGATTTTTGACATATAGTATATATTGACAATTAAATCTTGAAAAATACGGAGGCTTGTCCTCTGCGTTGTAGTGGATTTGGTGGAATTTAAAAAAAACCACTTTTTTGACATGAGCTGAAGAGGATAAGTGAAGCTCAGTAACTGGAGATCTATTTTACTCTTGATGGATGGTGGAGTTTCGGACTGACAAGGAAGCTAGTCTTAGAGTGCTAGTTTTACAAACTCTGTAGAAGCCTGTGCGTGGATCAGAAACGTACAAACAAACATATAAAGTTTTTAGCTAGGATGAAGTGAGCTGTGGCTCACGAAAGCTCATGCTCAAATAAATTGGTTAGTCTCTAAGGTGCCACAAGTACTCCTTTTCTTATTGGAAATGAATAAGCCAATGATATATGTCCTGCTGTTAAGTGTAACGATTTATTTTCTTAAGCATAGAGATTTCTTTAACTGAATTTATTTTTCTGTAGTTATGGTTTTAAATTTTGTTTTTGCATTTCTCATGTTAGTTGATAAAAATACAGTAGTTAATTCCACTTATTGTTTCTTATGAATTAGTGCAATGCTGAAATGTCTGGGTTGCAAACAATGCATAGGAATATTTAGTTCTTTCAAAAATAGTTCACACAGAAAATTAACTGTAAACAGAAAGTCATGGAAACATTTCTTTTGTTCTCAGTTTAATAAAAGTTTGTTCTAAATCTAAATTTGGGGCCAGATTTGACCTGAGTGTCTCTTTAATGTGCACTTTATGGTTTCTAGGAATGGTACTTGCTCTTTAAGAAATGAATGAATTCAATGCTGCAAAATTTAAAAAAAAATGTTGAGAAGGTACTGGGTGCAAGAGGTGCATTAGTGCTGCTGCTGCCCTCAGTGGGACATAACAAGGTAGTTCTGGTTTGGGAGGACATACCCTCCCTACTCATGCTCCAGCAAATGGTTGCACCTATGAATGAGCATGGTGAAGTATAATGGTTAACAGTGCATTAGCACTCATGAGAATGTGCTTGTTTCACTTTTCTAATTTATACTTTTATTTACAATATGTTAATCAGATAATATATAGGTATGAGTACTGAATTCAAACAGTGTCAATGGCCAGCCAGTTTGGCCTTATAATCACAGGGCTACTTCACCATAACTGCTCTGATATATGACCGTCCCCTTCAGATTAAATAAAGTGTATTATGCACCATGTTCACTAGGGCAATAGACATTTTATAACAAGACTTTTGGATGTTGCCTGCCTCCTGAAGTTCATCAGAGAGCACAGTCTTTACAGATGGCCATAATTGCCATGACAGAGGATAGATGTTGATGTGGTTTGGATATAGCTGGTTCCTAGGCCATTTAGGCCTTGTCTACACTATGAAATTAGGTCGAATTTATAGAAATCAGTTCTGTAGAAAGCGTTCTTATACAGTCGACCGTGTGTGTCCCCACACAAATACTCTAAGTGCATGTAGTCGGCAGAGTGTGTCCACAGTACCGAGGCAAGCATCGACTTCCGGAGCATTGCACTGTGGGTAGCTATCCCACAGTTCCCGCAGTCTCCGCGGCCCATTTGAATTCTGGGTAGAAATCCCAGTGCCTGATGGAGCTAACACATTGTCGCGGGTGGTTCTGGGTACATATCGTCAGGCCCCCCTTCCCTCCCTCCCTCTGGGAAAGCAAGGGCAGACAATCATTTTGTGCCTTTTTTCTTCGGTTACCTGTGCAGACGCCATACCGCGGCAAGCATGGAGCCTGCTCAGCTAACCGTCACCGTATGTCTTCTGGCTGCTGGCAGACGTGATACTGCATTGCTACACAGCAGCAGTTTATTGCCTTTTGGCAGCAGACAGTGCAGTATGACTGGTAGCCATCGTCGACGTAGTCCAGGGTGCTCTTTTAACTGACCTCAATGAGGTCAGGGGAACCTGGGCAAACATGGGAGTGACTCAGCCAGGTCATTTCCCTTTTAAGTTTCATTTCATGGCGATTCAGTCTTACTGGCAGTGTCTTTTAATCTGCAGCCAGCAGAAGACGATGGCCAGCAGTCATACTGCACCGTCTTCTGCCGAGCACCCAGGAGATGACGATGGCTAGCGGTTGTACTGCACAGTCTGCTGCCAGCAAGATGTATAAAGATAGATGAAGTGGCTCAAAACAAGAAATAGACCAGATTTATTTTGTATTCATTTTCTCCTCCCTCCCTCCCTTTGTGAAATCAATGGCCTGCTAAACCCAGTTTTGAGTTCTATCCTTGAGGTTTTGAGTTCTATCCTTGAGGGAGCCATTCTGTTTCTCACAAAGCCACCCCCTTTGTTGATTTTAATTCCCTGTAAGCCATGTCGTCAGTCGCCCCTCCCTCCATCAGAGCAATGGCAGACAATCGTTCCGCGCCTTTTTTCTGTGCAGACGCCATACCACGGCAAGCATGGAGCCCGCTCAGATCACTTAGGCAATTAGGAGCACATTAAACACCACACGCATTATCCAGCAGTATATGCAGCAACAGAACCTGGCAAAGCGAAACCGGGCGAGTAGGCGACGTCACCGCGATGACGAGAGTGATGAGGACATGGACACAGACTTCTCTCAAAGCATGGGCCCTGGCAATGTGGGCATCATGGTGCTAATGGGGCAGGTCCATGTGGTGGAACGCCGATTCTGGGCTCGAGAAACAAGCACAGACTGGTGGGAC